CCTCAAGTTGAGACGGAGGGGACCGACAAAGGGGCGATAACGTTAGCATATCAGTAGCATTGTAGCCAACGTTAACGTTAGAAATAACGCTAACATGGACGTGCAAATTTAAAAAAAAAAACAGTTCGAGTAGGCATCTAAGTCAAACACAAAACGGGAACACGTACGTGCGATTGCACATATATACATATGTACGTATATGCCAATCTGCTCAGCACGCGGCAGATACAGTTTGGCCTACTCGTCACTACGTCGCTTGGGGGGTATGCCCAACACATGAGCGAATCATCCCATGGAACGTGAGAAGCTGGACTAAATACAGTTAACCTGCGTGAAGTTGCTCCCGTGTGTTTCTTTCCTATATTTCTTTCTTTTTCTCTTTTTTTTTCCCCCTTTTTTGAGACAAATATTAGGGTACTTCTTGCCCCATAATGAAGTGACATTTCGGGGTGAAGGGGACCCCAGGGAGACTGCAAAATAGCAACCGCTGCGGGAACTGCTGCACCAGCCGCTACACCGATACACTGCTACATGGGTACGCTCAGAGGTCCGGGTCGTGCCAGGGGGAAGCCGGAGCCAGCTGAAATTTGCTTACCTTGGTGAGCACACCCATGGTCCACAAGCCCTCCAGAACGTTGCCGCCAAAGAAGGTCAGCGTACCCCTGCCCTCCTTCCGATTGAAAGCAAAGTGTCCGGCATAAACAGTACCATCTTCCTTGCAAGTGAACGTCCCAAACCCATGTCTCTGGTCATCAACCCACTCCCCTTCGTATTTGTTCCCATTGGAGTAAAGCAAAACGCCAAACCCATTGGCCTTATCATTTTTCCATTCCCCTTTGAATTTATCCCCGGAAGCATAAATGAGTTCTCCTTGCCCCGATTTTTTGGCAAATTTCCATTCCCCTATGTATTTATCTCCCCTACTATAAGTCAGTGTTCCCTTCCCATGCACCTTATCATCTTTCCAGTACCCCTCGTACATTTCTCCATTCACATAGGTCAATATGCCGTAGCCATTTTTCATATCATTGGACCAATCCCCATCATACTTATTACCATTTAAAAATTTGTAAACTCCTTTCCCTTCCATTTTCCCATCAACCCAATCTCCTTCGTATATTCCGCCATCAGCAAAAAAGTACGTTCCTCTTCCTTGCATCTTCCCCTCATACCAATCCCCCTCATACGTCTCCGCAATTTTATTTTCACGTCCTTTATACTTAACACACCCTTTCCCATGCCTCTTATCATTCTTCCACTCACCTACATAGACATCTCCATCTTCATATGTGTACGTGCCCCTGCCATGCATTTTCCCGTCTAACCATTCACCTTCGTACACATCCCCATTGTTATACTTTAGAATTCCAAACCCGTTTATCTTTCCATTGTCCCACTCCCCTTCGTACACATTTCCACTGACAAACTTGGCTGTTCCTTTCCCATGGATCTTATCGTCAACCCAGTCACCTTCGTATATTGCACCATCGGCATAGGTAAACCTCCCCTTGCCTTCTCTCTTCCCGTACACGAAATCCCCTTCGTACTTTTCATTCCGGGAGTATATGAGAATTCCATGTCCGTGGAACAGCCCATCCTTGATGTTTCCGTTGTAGCAGTGGGTTCCCTCCGCCAGGGTGCTCGTGGCCATGCTGTGGAGGGGGCGGTTGTGCTGGAGGGGTTATTCTGGAGGGGTTGTGCTGGAGCGGCTGTTCGGGGGAAGTTCTGCATAGGCAGCTGTGTGGGCACTCCAATGCGCACACGCCGCTTCTTACTTGTTGCCTGCAGCTCGCGTGTCCGCCTCTGCCGGCTATGGGGAGAAGTGTAACTTCTCGCTTACGTGGGGCTGTCTTCTTCAGTTTCGCGAGAATATTGCTCGAAAGTAAAAAAAAAGAAAAAAAAAAAAAAAAAATTACGACAGTGACTGCACGTGGTAACAGCGAACAATTTTGCATAAGTGGCCCCTCGTCTACCAGCGCATGTAGCGGGGGAGGAAAATGTTCTATCGAGGGAAATGTAACAAACGTGGCAATCGTTTCCGACGTGGCGACTGTTTACAACGCGACCGCGGCCCGCCCCTCTGTACCCTTTTGTCCGTTCGAACTGAACGTTTCACTCGCACCGGTCATGTGGACGTCATGGCGCACATACACATACGCGCGCGTGTGCAACTGTTGCGCCCCCCGTTGTTGCAGCCCCGGAGTTTATTCCCCCCCCAGGGGGAATCCCCTACAACAGTAGCGAAGTTCTATGACAGCGCCGCGTGCTACACGGAAAGGGTAGAAATTACTTTCCTCCGAAGAGGGGTCCGTCTCTTTAGGCGGTTATTTCTCACACGTCCTACACCGCGCAGAAAAAAAATCATTGCCCACACTCCCTTACAAAGCGGCAAGACCACGTCGCCATTTCAGAACTAAAATTTCCTGAATGGTTCATATAAAAATAAAAAAAAGAAAAAAAAAACGCATAAATGGGTAACTACTTCAACTCTTAACCATTTAGACGAAAGAACGATGCCGACTAAACCTCTCTTTCGCCGCTTCCCCGTTCAACGCAACAAAACCCGTTCTAACCTCCGCGAAACAACACATCATGGCGGTGACACCAAATGGGAAGCCAAACCAGCCGATCAATTATTTTCGCTTTTTATTTGTCTGCCCCAAATAAGCGGGGAAATGTTCACCATAGCCACGTGTTCTTCGACTCGTCAGTGGGGGGAAGAAATAAAAACACACAAAAATATAACACGTATGAGAAAAACCCTTAATTATATATAAAATTGTGGAACGATTTTTTATCCTGCGACGTTTGGGCCTCCCACACTTGAATGTTAAAACATGGGCGTAAATAACCTCTTTTCTCCTTCTACTGAAGGAGGAAAAACAAGGGGACAATGCACAACAGTTGGAGGGAACTACACACCGGTTTTGTGGTCATCTCGACATTTTTTCTAACCCAGATCGGATGTACACAGATCACTTCTGTTTGTGCCAAATGGGAAAGTACAGAATATATCGCGAATGCTGACAATGTAATGCCCTTTTTCGGTGGAATTTCTCCTTACAGTTGATTAAACTGTGCCCGACCGCCAATTACCTACTTCCAGTGCACCGCAAGCCAAAGAGATCACTACAACGCTGTGGCATGGGCGCTATCCTCGCGAAGTGAAAGACATCGCAGAGGTGGATAAACACAGGGCAAAGGAAAACGGAAAATTGTCAGTACAAAATTGTCGTAGTGCGCTTTTTTCTCGCTTCCTTTTTTTTGCTCCTCTTTTTCGCCTCCCTTATTTTATCGCTTTAATGGTGCGCGTCAGGGTGCTCCGCTTCGACCGGCTTAGTCATGGCCCATCATCGTACAGTTCAAATATAGAAGAGGCGCTTCCCCCCTCTTTTACTTCCTAACGATTTTGCTGCTCTCAAAAGTGCGTAGCTGTATTTCCCTTTGTATTTATGGGCGCCCTTGGCCATAACAAAGATGCGGGTGAGTACAACGTGAATTCCTTTAGTTCTCACCTGTTTGATGTAGCGAAAAAAAAACCCTCTTCTGTTCGTTTCCCCTGTTTGGTCATATGGACAAATCCGCGTCGAACAGAGTGGCAAAAAATACGTCAACCTTCTGTGCAGCCAGGCATCATAATGAGTGAGAAAAAAAACAGAGGGAAGCTTCTCGTAAGCGAAAGCATCGTGTGCATCAAGCGGTACTTTGACTTGCACGATGCTACCGTTGTGTCAATAAATGAACTGATAAGGATTATACTGCATAGGAGGTTGGTTTCCCTCAGTTTTGCAACTTCCATCTGTTAATGCTGTGGAAATGATTTCCCATCATGGCACAAAATTTCCCTTTTGTTTACTCCGCCAAACGACACCCTTGACGATGTATTTTTTCCCCCTTTTTGTAGTGCCAACCCGGGGGCCGGCTTCGACCAAACGGGAGAATTGGAAGATCTTCTCAAAAATGAGTTGGCTTATGCGTTTATAAAGGAATACGAGGCGGTCAACTTGGCACTGACAGATTTGAAGGTGTGCCTAGGTGAAATGAAAAGGCTCAAGGGGGGTATTCAGGAGATTGAAGCTTGGGGAAATTCCGCTGGGGAGGCACCCAACGTGGTACACTCCCTGGAGACCTTTTTTAAGAGCTCTCTGATCCATTTCAAAAGGGACTACAGATTGAAAAAGAAGTTACACGAAGCGCTAATTCATGTGGATGGTGCATGCGAAGATGAAATAAATCGATTACAGTTGATGTGGAAGGAATCGCCCTTCTTATTTACAATTTTGCATAAACACCATGTGAACAAGTTAATTATTGAGGGGAGGCAATTTTTGCAGAGAGTACAGCGGCGGTGATGCGTTAGCCCATGTGGGGTGTAATTTCACATGAGCGTGCCAACACAAGTGGTCTTATTTCATTCGCTCCTTTCCGAAACGTTCGTGATTATCCCCTCAGACGATAAGAACAAACTGGAACAGTTCCTTTTTTTTTTTTTTTTCGTTTTAAATGCACAAAATGGGAAAAACTCTGCATGAGAAGGGTGTCACGCTGAGTGTGACCACATGTGCGTTTTTCCACGAAGGCGCAGATTACGCTAACCAGTTTCTAAGTGACAGACCAGTTCGCGCTTCTCACAAAAGAATGCTTTGATCATCGCATGGGCAATAAATGCAATGGAACCACCCCCCCTTTTTTTTTAAGAGTAGCACCTTCATGCAAACGTAAAAATCGAACTGTCGAAGGTGCATACCAGGAGCGCAGGTGCATGCAAATTCCTCCACCTACAGAGATATTTTCCCCACTTGATGGACAAACAGATTGGCATTGAGCAGAAGTGATGCCATTTAACTCGCTCGTCTCGGTACGGGGTTCTTCTTTACGTAACTGAGCTGACCCGCAGACGTTCACTTTTTGATTCATTAAAAAGAATGATCCAAAATGATCTGAATTGAACCAAAATAACCTCAAATGAACCAAAATCACCCGAAATGAACCAGAATGACTCGAAATGAACCAAAATAAACCAAAGTGACATCAAATGACCCCAAATGAGTGTATCCTCAGGTCAGTCCACTTCCCCCTGTTTAAGCGCGTTCTTCTCGCTAAAGGGTTGCCCTCATGTGGCGCAATTGCATATGTCTACAACACGTATTTCCCATTGTGGGTTATTCGGGGGTCCCCTGACGCACACATAGATGAGCTTACGCGTGTACATACACTCTCTAGATAATACGTGCATGCAGGTACGTGGACCTGCAACGACATGGGCGCCCCGATGTGGCGCGTGCAAAATAAAAAAAAAAAAAAAATAACACCGCCGCAACGTCCCGTTGTCGCTCTACAAAATTTGATGTACTTACAAAAGAGAAACACCCCAAATGTACAGTTGGTATATACACACGTGCAAGAGTATAAGCGCATATATATGCGTATGTACATGTGTGCAATTGATTCAAACTTGAGCTTTTTGCTTTTTTTTTTTATTTTTTTTCGTTGTCACGTGAACAAATGACGAGACTGCAAACAGTTCCACGTAACATACAAAATTTTGAGTAGAAAAAAAAAAAAAAAAGTAAAGTTGTTCAATCGGAAGAAAATAAAATCAAACAAAAACAAAAAAAGCTTATAAAAAATAAATTAACTTTATTCATTTCTTTTTTTTAATACCAAAAAGTAAAACTTTTCATTAGTCCTTTTTCTTCTCCATTCACCTTGTTCTGACTTTCGTTTCACTGCGCTCATTTGTTTGTTAGACTGTTTAATTTTTCATTTGTTATTTTCCATTTGTTATTTCCCATTTGTTATTTCCCATTTTCTATTTCCCATTTGCTATTTGGCATTTTCGATTGTTTGCTTACTCACCCGTTCGCCCGCTCCACAACGCGCTGCTGCAAAGGTTGCCCTCCGCACACCACAGGTCCTACTCACCGCCATCCCAGTGTAAAGGGACGCCCCCCATTGTACTGTACCTCCCCGTATAACCATACCTCTCGGCAAAAATGAACACCTACTACAGCCTCTTCGTTTTTTTCCTCCTCCAAATTGCGCTAAAGTATAGCAGAGCAGCTGTCACGGTAGACACAATATGCAAAAATGGACATCTGGGTCAAATGAGTAACCACTTTAAGTGTATTTGTAACGAAGGGCTGGTGCACGTTTCCGAAAATACATGTGAAGAAAAAAATGAATGTAAGGAGGAAACCCTAGGCAAAGCATGTGGGGATTTTGGAATGTGTATAAAAGGCCCAAGCCCAGGACAGGAAAACACGTACAAATGTGGTTGCATTGAGGGCTACACCATGAAGGAAGGATCTTGTGTGCTTGCAGTATGTCAATATAAAAATTGTGGAGAAAGTGGTGAATGCATTCCTGAATTCATGACGGAAGTCCAAAGTGCAGGATGTTCATGTGCTATTGGCAAAGTTCCCAATCCAGAAGATGAAAAAAAATGTACCAAAACGGGAGAAACTGCTTGTCAATTAAAATGTAATACAGAGAATGAAGTTTGCAGAAATGTTGAAGGAGTTTACAAGTGTCAGTGTATGGAAGGCTTCACGTTCGACAAGGAGAAAAATGTATGCCTTTCCTATTCTGTATTTAACATGCTAAACCTCTCCCTCTTCTTTATCATCCTGCTAGTCCTTTCATACGTCATATAAGTGCAGAACTTGCGCAGCTAAGGGGCGCAAATTTTTTGAGTTAAAATACTTTTCTGTACTGAACTTTTACCGAGTGGTGATGTGATCAAGTTACTATGTGATGAAATAACGAAGCGATGAAGTGTTTTTTTTTTTTTTTTTTTTTCCATTATTCGCTTTGCTTCGTTAACCACCCATTTTACGTAATGTTTCGGCGAGCAAGTGGACACCCATGTGTGTCTACTCCTTTGAACCGAGCGAATTGGCTTCTTTTCCAAAGTGCAAAACTTTGTCTGACCAGAGAAGCGATGGCAAAACGTTGCCGAAGTGGCCTAGCTCCTCGTGTTTACGTAAAAAATGTAAATTAAATTTTAAAATTGAAAGAAAGAATTAAAATAAACAGATGAAATGAAAAAGAATACCGCCGTGGGAAAGACAGAACTGGACAAAAAGTCTCGGGAGGCGGAGTCCTCAGCGCTGCTGTGCTGTAAAGAACAACAGGTTGTCTTTTCTGGTCCTGTGTTCAATTGCTTCGCCGGGCATGGCTGCTTTGTTCTTCTAACTTTCGCTATTTTTCGAATTGGGATTTTTTTTTTTTACATTTGGCTAGCTGAGCAGATTCGTCTTCACATACAGCCATTTTTCCACGTAATGCATTTTTCCCCATGGCTGGGGTGACCTACAAATAGCGACAGCCTATTTTTTGCACCCTTTTCCACGATTGCAGTGAGCTATATTGGCAAGCGAATTCCTACACGATGTTTTCGTGTAGATACAACGCACAAGTGGGTAATCCCATTTGGGGCTCAATCGTAAAATGGTTGCCGATGGGGAAGACGTTCTGTCAACTCGTCGTAGTTTCAGTTCCAACGAGGGGATTCACACCGTCCAGAAAAAAAAATATATACTTGCAGGATGCACGCACCTGACTACTCAATTTGTGTGGTCCTACGTGGGGCAACACATGTACTACCGTTGTGCGTTAAAGCTATGCCCAATTCGGGAGCAAAGTGAGTACACACGCGCTCAGCTAGTCGTGCACACCTTTTTGAACAATGTCCTGCTGTCTTCATGGACATTAAGAATGATCTGGGTATCGCTAAATGACACAATTTTTGTAATTACGATGTCATACAATTGTCGCAGATTTTTTACTGCATATGGTTATCAATGTAGGTACACCGTTGCAGTTGTAGATGACACGTTTTAGACAGAGCGGTTATTACTAGGGAGTATAGGCATCGATTTTTTTCATATGGGAAAACTTTTTTTTTTCCTGACCATGATTGAACTTCTTATCCTGCAGAACTTTAACGGGAGAAGTGAATAAATTAGGAACTAGCCAAAATGCTTCCAAGTAAGGCAATTTTTTTTTTTTTTTTTTTTTTTTTGACGCTTTCCTGTTGAAAAAACCAACTTTTTTAAACTTAAAAAAAAAAAAAAAAAAAAAAGCATAAAAGAAACGAGCCAGTGAGTTAACGATTGGACAAACGGGAAAAGTAAAAAAAAAGAAACAAAATTAAAAAAGCAATATTGTTTTTTTTTATTTCCACATTATTATTTCCATTAGTTTATTTTTATTTGTTCATTTCGACTTACTCATTTCTTCACGTCCATTCTTCTCCTGTTCCACATTTTAATTGTCTTTCTGTTCATTCGACTACAAAGTGCATTATTCAAAAACGCCTCCCCTTTTGAGAGAACACCCAATTCAGATCGATTTGCCCCCTTTTGGGAGAACACCCAATTCAGCGCGTCACCCCCCCCTCCCCACTTTTTTGCGCCATCCTTTGTTCAAAATGAATACCTACCACAGTTTGATGTTCCTTTTGGCCATCGTGCTTGCGGTTAAGTACACCTTCGCAAAGGTCACGGTGGACACACAATGCAAAAATGGCTATCTAGTCCAAATGAGCAATCATTTTGAATGCAGATGTAATGACGGGTTTGTGTTGGCAAATGAAAACACTTGCGAGCAAAAAATCGTTTGTAAAAATACACAAGATGTAAATAAGAACTGTGCAGATTATGCTGTGTGCATAAACACTAGAGTGAATGATGTGGAAAGAGCATTAAACTGCACCTGCATAACAGGGCACAACCCACTGAACACTGTATGCATTCCAGCCAGATGTACCAACATTCTTTGTGGAAAGGGAAAGTGCATCATAGATCCCACTAATCCAAATAACACCATGTGTTCTTGTGACATAGGAACCACATTGGATGAATATAAAAAATGTGCAAAGCCAGGAAATACTCAATGCACGTTGAAGTGTAAGGCAAACGAAGAATGCTTATTGACTCAGAATTATTACAAATGCGTTGCGAAGGAAAGCGGCGGAGAAGGCAGCGGCGGAGAAGGCAGTGGAGGAGAAGGAAGCGGAGGAGAAGGAAGCGGAGGAGCAACAGGAGCAGCTTACAGTCTCATGAACGGATATTCAGTAATCAGCATACTAGTTGTATTCGCTTTCTTTATGATGTCATTAGTGTAGACGATTCTACACGCGCGCACACTAGGGAAGAAGGGTTTCACAGAGTCAGTAGAAATCGAACGCACAAAAAGGAAACTACATCGACCTCGAGAAAGAACATTTAGGTGTGCAGTTATGCCTTGGGAGAAGCACCTCCACCCACAGTTGAGTTGCTGTTAACTTAAAATTTAGTGGCACCCATATTGTGACTTTGTTCGCTCAAATGTATCGTGACAATATGACAACAATAAATATTTTTTCGCCGAAGAAGATGCCAACACCTGGTCACCTGGGTTGTGGCAATGATGTACATTTTTCTTTTACTCCTTGCGCTGTTAAGCAGTTAACATTTAGGCCTTTTATTTATTTATTTTTTTTTTTTTTTTCGCTGTGGCAAGTTACCCAAACCGTTTGTGCATAATATGTCATTCGTCTTTGTCGTACTTAAGATACAGCCCTTTTGACTGGGGTCAACCGTTTTTGTGTTGTAGCTGGCTGCACATAGCACTGTGCGCATGTGTTGTATGTGTGTTTTGTGTCTTTGTCTATGTCTGTATTTGTGCGTTTTTTTTTTTTTTTTTTTTGTGCACCCCAAAACCATCACCAACGAGAATGTTTAACCGAATGGGGCGTCTTAAAAGAGCGAATGCAGGAAAAGGAAAAAAATCGAAAATGCAAAAAGGCAAAAAGGCGACAGTGCGAAAAAAAGAAAAAGTTTTTTTTCTTGTTCGTGTGTCTCGCACTGGGGAGCACGCTCTCCCCTAAGGAAGGAGTGCAAATAAGCGAGCTAACTGAAAAGCGGCAAAGTGGCATGGATGCATGGAGGCATAGAGGCAAACACGTAAAAAAAAATAACAAACAATGGAACACGTATATAAAACACAGACATGGACATGTTCCATGTGCAGGGGCACAAAAAGGTCCCCTCGAAGGGATGTAGTGCGAGGGGCTGGAACGAACGGTCTCTCCCCGAATGGTGTAATCGTTAAAGTGTTATGCCGCTAAACCGCTAAACCGATGCGACGATGGGGTGGGCACCAAGGCTACCGCTCCCCTCCTCTTAGGTCACATTCTTGAGCCGCTTCGCCAGCGTGACATAATCAATTTTGTCCTTATCTCTCAAGTTTAGCGATTTGAAAAACAATCTCATGTCCTCATCGACCAACCTCTCATCGCTGTTCTTCAAAATAAATCTCATTTTCTCCTCATCAAGATAGCCACTTTTTTCTTTGTCGAAAAATTCAAAGGAGGTGATTAGCTCGTCTAGCGATAAGGGTTCCTCATAAGTCTCAAGAAATATCCTCAAGAATGTCTCAAAGTTGATGTGTTTTTTTTTTTTGTCCATCAATTCGTTCTTTTCATATATATGACATGTTCTGACATTTTGACCATTTGGGCTATTTTTTTTTTTGTCTTCATCGTTAAAATGGTTCAGCTTTCCGATTAGGTTTTTCATTCGATCGTAATTTGGGGTAGCTTTGGCTTTGTTTTTCTGACCGCTTGATTGCTTCGCTGCACTTGGCGTCCCTTTGTCTCCTTCTCCCTTATCGGCTGCCTCGGCAGCGTCGGCAGCTTGCGGCTGCTCCTGCTCCTCCCCCTCTTTTGCGTCTTCAAAATGGTTATCCACCATCTGGTCCATCTCTTTTTCCGTTTTGGTTTGCCCGAGCAATCGCAAGAGCGTCTTAAATTCCTCTGCGCTAATTTTTCCATCCTTGTTATTATCCACAAGGTTAAAGTTTTTTTGCATCAATTGGAGTTTTTCCTGAGATATGCTGCTTTGCATTTTGCCTTCCTCACCTGTGGGTCACCCTTCAACAGGGGTGGATGCGTAACAAAGTCAGGAGCATACGGTGGTGTACCTCGTAATGTACGTATGTGTACATGTTTGTCCATGTGCCTGTTTCTGTGTGTGGACTTGTTCAGTGCGCTCTCACTTGGGCAACTTCCCCACTTGGTCCAACTGACCAAAGAATGTCAACCTCGCGTGCTGAAGTGAAGGAGCCCCAAAATGGTGAGGAACGAGTAAACACATATATCACATATATGACACTTGTCAAAAATACAGAAAAAAAAGAAGGACGTCCTCCAACATGCGTATCCGTGCAGTTAAGGTGACCAACGAAATGTTGTGTAATGCAGGGCATTTTTTCTTTTTTTTTTTTTCTTTTTTTTTGCGCTCGGAAGGAAAGTCAACTGGGACGCTGCTCCATCTGCGGGGAGGAGCAGGTGTCCATTTGGGCGGCATTCTCCCTGTTCCTTAACCCGGGAAAGCGGTCGACAGAGGGGTTGGAAAAATGGGGGTCCGCTCAATCGGGAGAAGCCTCCTTGGGTGCTGCCCGTTTGGCTTCTGCTCGCTCTTTGCGTTTCTCACTAATCTGGCGGAGCAAGTCCTCCGAAGGGTTTAAATATCGCTCCAATTTACTTGCGCATTTATTGAGGACAAATTTTTTTCCCGAAATGCCCACCTCTGGATAATCCGCCCACACAGCAAAGTGATGCAAAATGATGGCACAGGAAACAGACACGTTGAGAGAACACGTGCCATTGCCATACTGAGGGATGTAAATGATTTTATCGCAATAACTGAGTGTCTCATCATTAATTCCCGTCCCTTCATTTCCAAATAGGAAGGCTGTATCTTTATGTACAAAGGGACGTCTCGTCACCGGTACAGCACTGCCTGTTATTTCGCATCCATACAATAGGATACCATTCTCGCGCAGGTGGGTCTTCAGCTCCTTCATCGTGGAGAAATACTCTATGGTTATATATTCACATGTACCCATGTGGCCAAAGAAGTTGACTTGATTCCTTTTTCGACTCACGACGAAAATTTTACTGACCCCGAAGGCAACGCAACTTCGTACGATGCTCCCGATGTTTTTCTTCTTTCCTATGTTGTAAATGGCCACGTACATTTGGGGGCATCCCGGGGGGGGTTCCCCATTTAGGGTTACATCCCCGCTTAGAGTGACTTCCCCACTTGGGATGAGTTCCCCCCTTGGGGTGGCCATTTCGCTGCGCCCGAGGGGATTCCCGTTCTACTCCGCCTGCGCTTCGTAATACCAGTGGACGGTTAAATTGCGGACTCTCTTTTCACCACGCCGCTGTCACGAACTGTCGGTCTCGTCGTAAGATAGCATTTCTGGCAAAACGTTAAAGAACTTGCTCTTGGTCGCTGTAGCGTCACATTTCCATTTCTTCAACTTGGTCATGCAGTATTTTCACAGGGGGACAATACACTAACAGGAGAAAACAGAAGGGGAATATAAAAAAGTATGTCGAGATTCCACTTGGGTGGAGTTCTTCGGGGAAGGGGAGGTTGTTTTAACGGAGAAAAAAAAAAAAAAACTAAAAAATAGCAACTTGGCGTGGGTGCCCACATAGATAAAAATTATACATAAATATATTTGGCATATATTTTCACATTATGACTTTCTCATATTTTCATATTTTTTATGTGCTTGTGTACATGTTGGTTGCATGTGGGAGAGCGAAAAAAAGGGGCGACCTCTTGGCCGAGTGATCTTACCCCTTCCATGCGCATCGCCAGGACGGATAATAATTTTCTCCTTATCAGTCGCCTAAACTTGCGGGGCGCTTCCCGAGGAAATGGACTTTTCTTTGGAGTCTCCCTCCGCTGGGCACCAACACAACAGCGGTTCATGCGCAGAATGGTTTTCTTCTTTAAGGGAGCAAAACGGTTGCTAGTCACACCGGCATTTACCTCTCCCTCTCTATGACCCTAAGGGGGCGGTGCTTTTCCCTATTTCGGTACACCCCCAGAGCTGTACCTTCATATCTTCCTTTTTGAGAAAAACGAATTTGTTAATTTCTTTACGGTGACATTGTGAAGATAAGCGGTTATCTGCCCGCCGTTTTTACCCCGTTGTAGACTGTCCGCCGTTTTTACCCCGTTGTAGACTGTCTGCCGTTTTTACCTCATTATAGACTGCCCCTCATTTTTTTCCCACATTTTTTCCCCCCCCCTTTGCGACATGATGAATGGCTCCACCGCGGAGGGTCCCTGCACCTTGCCGCAACCACCCAAGTACATCCTCGGACTGGAAGGGAGTGCAAACAAACTGGGGGTCAGCATCATAAATAGCGACTTTCAAATTCTGATAAACATGAGAAGAACCTACGTCTCCGAAATTGGCTGTGGATTTATCCCTAGACAAATTAACGCGCACCACAAGTATTATATCATCGAGATGATTAGAGACTGTCTCGATAAATTGAAAATAAAGATAACCGACATACATTTAATATGCTACACGAAAGGGCCAGGCATTGGCTCCGCCCTCTACATTGCCTACAACATAAGCAAATTCTTTTCCCTTCTCTTTAACATTCCCGTTATCGGAGTCAACCACTGCATTGCCCACATCGAAATGGGCATTTTCATAACGAAGCTTTATCACCCTATCATTTTATACGTCAGTGGAAGCAACACACAGATCATTTACTTCAACGATCACAAGAAGAGGTACGAAATCATCGGAGAGACGTTGGACATAGCCATTGGAAATGTCATCGACAGGTCCGCCAGGATTCTCCGAATTTCCAATTCTCCTTCACCTGGGTATAATGTGGAAATCTTGGCTAGGAAGAAATATCTCTTAAATTTGGAGAAAAAAAAAAAAAAAAGCCTCAATGGTTGTGTCCACTGCGGGGAGAGAACCAAGAAGTGGGGACCCGTATGGTGCCCACGTGGAGGGGCAAGAAAGGGACACTGCCCCCCAGGCGCACACCGGTACAAATGAGCCAAATATGGCAGATGATTCTAATACGCCAAATGATTCCAACACGCCCTATATGCCCAATAAGCCAATGAGGGCGGACCCGTGTGACTACACCGAACTGCTCTTCTTCCCCTACACCATAAAAGGGATGGACATCTCGTTCAGCGGGTACGACTACTACGTGAGTAAGTATTTCTCCAGGTATTTAACCAAGCGAGGCAAAAAGGGGATGGACGGCGACGGGGGAAAGCCACCAATGGGCGATCAAGACGCCCCTAAGAGGAAGAAGTGGCACGACGGGGAAGAAGCCAACGAGGGGAAACAGTACCGGGGGGAAACCGACCAGGGAGGAAAAAGCGATGCGGACGTCAACGGGGAGGAAGATGACTATGGAGAGGGCGACGCAGACGGAGGAGACGAAAACGTAGGAAACGCTATCCGAGGAAACTCTATGGGAGGCAACCCAAATGATGGCGGCACGCAACACTTTCCGCAGCCCAACTTGAGCATTCACGCGGGCGTGCAGGGCAGCTCCTACTACGAAGAGAATGTCATCTGCAGCATCGTCGGGAAGAAGAATTACGGGGAGGACGATCATTACGCGGAGGACGACGACGGAGCCATCGAGACGGACAGCGATTTTTTCGACTCCAGCTCCGACGGTGGCGCGGCGGGGAGCGACAAAGAAGGGGTGGGGAACCTTTCCAGCCCACCCATCGAAGAGCAACCACACAACAGCGCCAACCTAACGGACGAAGAGAAGCGGAAAATACAAATCTGCTACAGCCTGCAACACCACATATTCAGCATGCTCATCGAAATCACCGAACGAGCCATCGCCTTCACGAACAGCAAGGAGGTCATCATCGTGGGGGGAGTTGGCTGCAACGTTTTCCTACAAAACATGATGAAGAAAATGGCAAAACAGAAAACTATCAAAATTGGATTTATGGATCACAGCTACTGTGTGGACAACGGTGCCATGATTGCCTACACGGGGTACCTTGAATTTTTGAATACCAAAAATAGGGAAATCTACAATTTTAATAATATAAGTATCCACCAGAGGTATCGGACCGACGACGTGCTCGTGACGTGGAGGTAGGGGTAGCCTCTACGAATATGCGGCAGGGGGGGGAGCAGAGGAGGAGCACCGGAGTAGCCACCAAATTTGTGAAGCCTCGTCCACTCCGCGTGGCCGCGATGTGGCACTGACCGATGCGTCAATTTTTTTAAAAAGGGGAGCGCTGAAAACGCAGACGTGGTGCAAAAGTTGTAAAAAAGGAAAAGTAGTAATTATGGGAGGGAAATATACGGGAAAATTCCCCCCCTGGTCGTGTTACACCGGGGTAGAGATAACCTGCCGATGCCGCCCCACACACTACGATATCAGCACCTCGACAGAGATGTCCTCCATATAGGTGAGCAGATTCTTCGAATGCGTAATCCACTTGTCTATGCTCTCCTTCATGAAGAAGATCTTCTCATCGTTGAGCACTCGTGGCTTCACCCACGTAATCTTCACCGACTTGTCAATTTCGTCAATTTGGCAAGTAATAATATTTTTACTCTTAGCCGTGATGAGCATTTTCTCCACTTCGTCAATATCCACTTTGCAGTGCTCTGCAATTTCTTCAAACGAAATGTCAGATCTTTCTTTTTTTTTTTTAAAAGCTAGATCCATGAGGGCTAGCAGGGTAATCTTCTTAAGCATATTCCTCTCATAATCTTTGAGAAGCGAATTCTTAATATTCGCCTCGTACGTCTGTACCACTTGGTTGAAAGCTTCTATGTTTCCTTCATTGTAAATATAGATTAGCTGATACAGCCAGTTTGTCTGTTCGTTATTTTTTAAGCATACATTGATGAGTGGCAGCTGGATAATCTCTCCTATATTGTACACATCTTCACTTATTATTGAATGCATGCAGATATGGGTACCTATATCGATTTTCTCCGCCTCGTCCAAATCATTTAGGGGAGTATACGCTAAGTACAGCAGGGCATACTTAACGAACAAATCCGACTTACTTAACACTTTATAATAATTCATAATGGCAAAGTTGTAAAACTTATGTGCGACGACATTCAATCCGATGACCCCTTGGAGGAGATTCTTCGTACTCTCGATTTCATTTTCGCAGCTTTTAAAATCTCCTAACTCGATATACTTCAATATGAGGATACATCTATATATGATGATTGCGTCCTTATCATTTTCTAGGTGTTTTTCGGATTCTTTCAAATAGGAAATGGTCCAGTTGGCATCAAACTTGGCCGTCACGATGTAAAGCAACTCCGCATATATCGTCTTCTTCAGTTTGCTCATCAGGGGAGACAGATATGTGTAGAAGAGTCTAAACTTGTCCTTCACTTGGACGTTCTTATTGTTAATAAATTTTTGTACTTCTAGTGTCAACTCGTGGTGGAACTTCTTCTCTTTGTAATTTTTCATTTCGTTGAAATTTATGAAGTCATACTTCCCTTGCAGCTCCCCGATCAGCGCCTCCTCGTTTTCGTTCAGCAGCCCGCTGATTTCCTCCGCCGTGGTCGTCATCGTTCCGAGGGGTTCAGCAGGTGCCCCAAAAAAAAGTCACTTGGATTTACAGTATAGAACGGGTAAGCAAGCATAATAGGCCGCTTACGTGGGGAGAGTATGCCATCCGGGTGGAGCAATCCAAATGAGACTTCACGTGAAGCAGAGCCCACTACAATCCACGCAATGAATGCCTTCCCAGAAAAAAGGGCAAGGGAAGCGGCAGAGGAAGCGACGGCTTAAGTATAATGGGAACAAAAATCTAAGCCAACGGGTTACAAAACGTGTAAGCAAAAGAAAACAAAAAAAAAAAGAAAAAGAAAACGAAAAAAGAAGAAGGAACGCACTTCCTCACAAAGTGGGGCAATCAAAATGTGTTTTTTTTTCTCCCAACCCCTTTTTTTTCTTTTTTTACATAATTAAAAAGTGCCGACTGAATAGCTAATTTTTTAAAAAAGGAAAAAACATACATTGTTTTGCACTTCGAACAATTCGTGAGAACAGACTAGGGGTAGGCACGGCGCAAAGAAGGCAACCTCCTGGTGATCTTCAAAAATATTTTTTTAACCTTATGTGCTACTTAAGTGTGGATCGAAATTCGGACGCAGCAACAGGAAGGAGTAGCCGCTTTAGGCATAAGGTTGGAGAAGGAGGATGGCAAAAATGAAAAAGAAAAAAAAAAAAAAAAACTTAGCCATTTTATGGTTTACTATAGCCCTATGTGTGGTTGTTGGCGAACACTGCCATCGAATTGCCATCTGAGGAACCTACCAAAAAAAACTTTACATGAATGCCTCTGTTATATCATCACCTCACCATTTTAAATGGCGTACCTTCTTCCTTTTCGGGGGGCCTTCACACAATGGAAACCAAATGGGTAACAGACAGCGCTGTACTCTTCTCGGTAAAAATGGCGCCCACACGGACACACCCTGCGCCTATGTCACATGTGTACATCCCATTATGTGCTCAAAAAGGTGTAACAGAGAGAAAAACGGAAAAGAATAAAGACATACCTTTTAACGATTCAACCCTGCGAGGAAAATACAATGCACGTCCCTGGGAAAAGGCCTCCGATTAGGCACTATAAAAGGCCATTTACGACCCATGCGTCTTCCTCATCACGTACGCCTTCGCGTCAAATAAACATCCCACAGTATCCCCCTGCCGCTTGCTAACCCCACGGCTGTGACCAAAAGGGAACCCCTTTCGTAAAAGCCTCGATAAAAGAGCTCACCATGTTATAAGCCAACTTCGTGAACGTCTCACTGACATCATATACCAAATTCCAGGGAAATCCAATTGGTACGCGAAAAAAAAAAAATGGCAAAATGTTCTTTTCCCTGAGAGGCATTTTACCCCTCCATGCTCCTGTTCCGTCATATTTCAAACCCTCTGTGACAAGACCCCATGTGTACACTTGACACGTGCAGCTTTGAAAAAAATATTGCCGAAGGGGTAGGCAATTCAGTTGATCAACTAGGTCATTATTTTTTCATCAATAAAAATGGCCTTTCTTTTTTGCGTGAATAATCTTGCAAAGTATAAAGCGTCATATTGTGAAGTTCCCATTTTTTGTGTGTCACCAAAAGGGTTTTTTTTGTTTTTTTTTTATTTCTTCTTTTGCTTTCCTTCCTCAATGCGGTAAATGGACAAGGAAGCCATTTTACGAAGTGGTGGTGGGGTCTCCCTCAAGAGGAGCAAAAAGCAGATTGAGTCTTTACAGTATTCTTTGAAGAAAAACATAAGAAGTATGTTGTGCAGCATGCAAGTTAAGAAAAAGGGCATTCCATTTTGCCACGTCACATAGTTCAGCATTCCGTACCATGCAAATCCTTGTGCAGCAATTTTGCCTCGATATGCACTTCGTGAAGGACCTTTTCCCCAGCCTTTTATTTTCTTACCTACCCTCCTCCAGAGAACGAAGAGTTGACGAACCGAGTGTACTATTTCTTCCCCACCGATGATGTGCTAGACCAGACCCTCTTCCATTTGTGTAAGTTTATACCGAGAGATATGCACATTCTAGACGAAGATAAGAAGACGGGAAGCACGCACAATTCGATGCCCTTTTCACGATTCGAAGATTCTGACACAGATAGCTGGGGTGATAAAATCAGAGGGGACGACGACATTGAGATAGACGAACCCCGTGCTGGAGGAAGTAAATTGCTCACTTTGAGTCCCAACTTGGGAATAAACAAAAGGCCAACACATTCTTGCATCGAATGGAAAGGGTTTGTTAACGAAGCGAACGGATATGCAGCAGTTAAAATTCTTAACCCTTTCTCCTGCCAGGAGTACAGCACTTATGCGAACCGGCTCGTGTACTTCCTATTTCAGAGAACGAACTGCATTGGCGTGGAAGATTTTCTAAGGAGCCACAATTTTGTGCGGACCGGCATTCCGCTGTACATGAAATGCAAAAATAAGCTGTGTGTTAGGTTATCTCACATCGACGCTTCAAATGATTTGTATGTTTAATGTTTCGGGACAGTGTGCGGACGTAATGCGGGTGAAGGATTTTAATGGATCCATGTGGTGAACAGAAACTCCTGCAGAGTGGATGCATGCACAGCGAGTTCTTCCTATTTGGAATCTTTTCTGGAAAGGTAACCAAAAGAGCTGCGCCACTATGGTGAATTCTTACATGCGGGTATATAAATATGTATATGTGCACCTTGGCGTATTTGTGCTTTCCCGCAGCAGTGGTATTTTTTTCCAAGGGTCGAATTTTTAGAAATGGCACGATAAGATGTACAAAACGGTCCTTTCCCTTTACTTCGCCATTTAACGTATAGCAGAATGTTACGCAGTTTTGTTGCGCTTTTTTCTTCCTCTATTATCGCCCTGCACACATGAAGAGTGAAAAAAGGGGAAAGCAAAAAACAGCTAGCCATTTTGTGAAGATTAAAAAAAAAAAAAAAAAAAACGCACACAAAACAGCGGGGATTAGGAATTTCCCTTCATTTACATCCTCGTTTAATAAAAAATTATGACCGCGCAGGTAAAATTTTTCTTTTTTTTTCTTTGCAGTTATACAACCACTGGGCAAATATCGTTTAGGCGTATTCGCGAATTAGAAGGCGACAGGCGGGGCTTATTTTCTGTGAGAAAAACGGGTGCCAATTTTCGCTGAAACGTTTCTAATTACGCAGAGAGGAAACAACTATTTCGCCCTTTGCACGTAAGTGGTTGCATTTTAAGGTATTTACCAAGTTGCATGTTAATTTACACACATGAACGCGTTCTGTGCTAGATCTCTGGTTAGCCATTTTGACCAGAGCCGCACAAATTATTTTACTCCCCGTTTCGTTGGTATGTTCCGCTTTGGAAGATCACCCAATCGGTATGTCCATACAAGATATTATTCCATACTTGGCGTCCACTGCTTTGCGCGCACGGGACTTCCCCATGTGGAGCAGTCCCCTTAAAACGGACAAAACGGGGAAGGACATCCGTGGGGGTTATTAATCGCGCCGATTTCGAAAAAAGGAATAGGGAAAACTGTAAACTGTATGCCAAAGTACCTTTATAAGAAGAAATTGGCATACTTCCTCATTCATTAAGGGTAGCTTCATCCTATGTATACAAATAGGCATTGCATCGCATAACATAGGTTTAATTTCTGTTTTTTTTTTTTTTTTTTCCTTGGTTAATCTATTATCCACCCCATCCATTTTATCCCTTGAGTTGAGCTGGAGCCTCATGGAGCTACCAAGCTCTTCCCAGTCGCGCGGTAAATGCCTAGATATAATATAGCATATTATATATAATACGCATATAAATACAGCAGGCATATATACGTATATATTCCTAAAGCGCTCCCAATGCTTGGACCAGCCTAGGTACATAAAAACATAAATGCCATATATATGTACTACACGTAGGGGGCGACGGTTTATTCCGTGTACACTTGAGTGAGTTCCTTTTTGCCAAAGCACCCCCGCAGCTAAAGTTTACGTAAAAAAAAAAAATTTAAAAGCGTCTTTGTCAAATGTATTTGGCTGCCTATGGCTTATGCGGAGTGGGAAAGTGGGGTTTTAACATGTTATTGGCGAAAAATCCCCTATGACGCGTTTTGAAACCATTCAACGTTCGGCATATTAAGTCTATATATAAAGTACATATGCGCATGTATACTCCGCATGTAATATGCACGTAATATTATATACATGTCATTTATGTTATCTATGTTTTCACGTTTGCGAAAAGGAAGGGAAAAAAAAGAAAAAAATCAATTTTTTGTTTGTTAACCCTCTTACAAATGGGGGAATTTTAAATTGTGAACTTTTTTTGTACTTCCCCGGGCGCAGAAAAATATTCCAAAGCCGAACGTACTGCCAAGTTTATGGTAAATATTATATGCAACATTTTCAACGCAGCTTTTATATGAAAAGTAATTTACATGGAATTTATTTTTTTTTTTTTTTGCAGTTTTTTATTTGAAGTTTTCATTTGCAGTTTTATTTATATGTTTTTTACTTTTCAACTTAGCTGTTATTTTTCCCTTTTCAATTCCCATTTTCCCCTTTTAATTTTTTTTACCTTTGTGCCAACTTCCTTACGCATCGAACGCATTTAAGCAGATTTATGAAAGTTTTAAACCTTTTCGTCATTTTGTTTTGTGTTTTCATATGCCACATATTTGTATATGTACAACGTATATAAATAAAAGTAAGCAAAAAATAAATGCATGGTTACGGATGAGTGAATTTTTTTTTCTTTCTTTCCATTCCATTTTTTGTTTTTAATTTTATTATTCCCCCCCTTTTCCTGCTTATCACTATATTATACTTATGTACATGTACGCCTGTACGCATTTTTTTTTTTTGTTCCAACTAGCAACGGTGCGCAACTTAGCGTAACTGCTTTCCACACGTTTACCTGTGCATGCCCCTTTCTTGACTCCAAACGCTGAAGCGCATCGGGAAGGACGAAAAAAAAATACACCCACTGCCATTTCCTCATACACCTAAAAAACCCTTAACCGCCCCTGCGATAGAGTTGCAATAAACTCGAAATAGTAATGCAAAAGGGGAGATGAAAAAAAAAAAGGGAGGAACATCATTTTAGCCACTTGCGTGCGACATCTTTACCAGTTACGCAGCAATATTCTGTTCCATGAGGACGCGCACCTCTGTGTCGGTACGCCCTTTCATATAAATACATTAGCCATGTAATTAATTAAAGAAATAAATGTACAATTAAGTAAAGCAATAAAAAGGTGCTATTAATTAATGCCCGACTTTACTGCTCCCGAGCGGTCACTGCTGTGCTGCATTTCCGTCTAGTGACTTGACTGGGCCGCATACTTTTGACGTTGTTTTGCATTTGTATGCCTTCCTTCTTTTTTTTGTTTCCGCCCCCATTGGCTTGTCTGTTTGTTAGCCTGGTTGTCGCACTTAAAGTTATTGTAGCACAACCGCCACAGCTTCTTGAACCACACACGTTTTCCTTGAAACAGTTGAATCCTCTCGTCCAAGCGTCAGCGCATCCACAAACCCCAACTTGGCTAAAGCGCGTTAAGGCATTGAGAAAAGATCCTGGTGTCACCGTTGCCTGGTAACGAAAAATTATATTTCAAAGAGCTCACAATTCTTCGAGTTTTTAATTGAAATTAAAAATCCGCATCGAAGTAGCCACTTTTTAAGATAACTCTCCTGTATGTCCCCCACTTGTGCCAGAACCATATGCCACGCAACACAGGTAATATCGTATGTGCAACTAATTCGTGCCACGAAGAGGTTAGTTCGCCTCCTACACGCAGTCACGCCAAGGGGGATGACAATCAACGTCGCGTCTGCCCGCACGCATGCACAAGCTTGTATATAGTCAGATTGGAAGAGAATCCAATTTAGTCTGTCCTTCCGATCAGTTGCCTATAGAAGAGTGCAGCTAGACGCAAAAGGAAACTTAAAAGGCAAAAAAGAAAAAAAATAGAAACAAAAAAGGTGACAAAAAAGGGGAACAAAAGAGGGGAACAAAAAAGGGAACTAGCGGTAAATTGAAAAGGAGCCAAAAGAAGACCTTCACTTTCTCTCTCCTTTTTTATTTAATACACTCTCCCCATACAAATTGTAATTATAAAAGCACCAATTGTAACGAAGTACATCATCTTTTAAACCGGATTACGTTGTTACGAAGTTGCTGTGATTGTTTTAAGGCACTCATAAGTAATATCAACAAAATCGAAAAGATAAAATTGGTGTTTTTGTAAGAAAAAAAACAAAAAAGAATCGATCCTTTTCTGGGGTTTGGACGAGACACACAGCAGGCACCCTTACCATTTTTTGAAGCTTACAAAAATATGTATCATCTTGTCTGAACATATACATATTTGTGAGAGCGAACAAGTGGAAATAAAAACAACCACACTCCCCTGTGGTGCGCTTTGCTGTAGCCCCCCCACACGGTGTGACCCCTATGTACATGTCTAGATGTATGCCTGGCGTGGCGTCCCTTTGTAGTGTGGGTCCCCCAAGTAAAATTTGGTTCTTCCTTTTTCACGAGGTTATTGTCTCTATTTGTTTTAAATCATAAAGGGAAAAAAAAGGTGTGTACTGAGAAATTCAGCCCCTGAACAGATAGCTAAAAAGTTAGATCCTACCTCCTTCCTCTTACCATTTTTGTGCTGCCTTTATGTGAATCTGCTAACGACTATACTGTTGAGTATCCTTTGGGGATGAAACAAAGTGTGGGCCTCCACCTTTTCTGATGAAGCAGGCGTACGTTAGCACGTTAGAACGTCAGCACGTTCGTACTTTCACCTGTTAAACTGTACGCCTGTGTGTATTCATATATATTTATACATATCCCCCCAACATGTACATACCAATATAGGTGCCAGCACGCAGCAGCCATCCCCCCCAAGCAAGCTCCCTCGCCCTCCACGGTCGCAGTCGTCGCTAGACAGGTGTGCCCTACCGCAGTTACATATGTACCATAACTACTATTGACAATTGTGCGGGAAAAAAAAAAGGCGAACATTCTGGCTACTCTTTCGGAACAGCTCGAAGGATTTGACCACAAACGACCAGGAGCTTTATCTATGTGCTTGTACATATATGCGAGGCATTCCCATCCCCCAGCTGATATAGAAAAAAAAAGAAAAATCTCACTAGCGAAAATTGAAAGCAACACA